TTCCTTTTCCACTCGAATGTTACAACTCCATTTTCTAGTCTACAGAAGGCGCTGCCCGTGCCGTTCTCAGTTTTGGAACCATCTGTGAAAAGGTTATTACTGTACCTCTGAATTGGTTGGTCGTTTATACTGATACCGTCAGAGAGATTAAAAGCTGCTGGATGAAAGTTATTACAGTTGTTTTGCTCCTCGTAGTCCGAATGGTGATAACTATGACCCCAGAGTGTTGAAGTTTAACCCAGCCTGGTAACCCTTACGATAGCTGCCTCCCTTTCTACTATCAAATCTAGGGGAGGAATTCCTACTAGTTGTTGTAGGGCTAGTGTTGACGTGGTACGGTAGGCCCTGCATACTTGAAGTAGCTGCTGTCTCTGAATAGAGAGCAGGGATCTTTTCATATGAGAGGTAAGTTCGCCACCCCAGATTGCTGCTCCATAAGTTATTACTCTTTCTGTAATGGTTCTATGCCAAATTTTTAGTAGCTTAGATGAGATACCCCATTTATGTGAAGTCATGCGTCTCATGTTGTTGCTTAGGATGCTAATTCGAGTCTTAAGATTCCTGACATGTGGCATCCAAAGAAGTCTGTTGTCGAGTAATAGCCCAAGATATTTCAATTGGGGGAAACATTTTACAGGTATCACATGGAGTTTAATGCTTGGGTTGCGTCTTAGCTGCCTGCTGCGTCCTATGAGCAAAGCTTTAGTTTTCTCTGCCGAAATCTGAAGCTTATGAGCTCTGGCCCATTGGGAGAACAGATCAAGACAGTATTGAGATCTCATTTTCGAGGTTACTCCTTCCTGCCACAACTAGCATAAAATCGTCCGCATAGGCTATGATTCGAGCGTATTCTACGCTCTCAAACTGACGAAATGCCGAGTTTGCTACTATATTCCACAGTGTTGGTCCAAGGCATGACCCCTGTGGGCATCCTCTAAAGACATTTTTGACATAAATGCCGCTGTCTGATGTTACTTGTACACTTCGATCTTGAAGGTACGAGCGAAGGATGGTAATAATGGCTGTTGGGCACGCCATGTTGTGCAGCAAATTTATTACGTCTGGCCACCAAAGGGAGTCAAAGGCTCCCTTGATGTCAATGGCTATTGCCAGTGAGTGCAAATTGTTATCCTTGTTCTGTTTGATAGTGGCCATTAAGTCTTTTATGGCATGTTCAGTTGAGTTGCCCATTCGGAATCCATACTGGTTGGGATGCAGGGCGTTGTTCCTTTGCAGGAAGAAGTCCAATCTGTAAAGAATTACTCTTTCCAATACCTTACCGAGCGCTGGCAGTAGACAGACTGGCCTGTAAGATGTAGGTTCTGCCGGAGTTTTGCCTGATTTTAGGAATAACGCCACTTCTGCCAACTTCATATTTTTAGGAAAGTACTGATGTTTCCAGCAAGCTGAAATGAAATGACCGCGAAGGAATAGTTTTGGGAATTCCCGGTGTATCTCTCTAATGATGATATTATCAATTCCATCCGGACCTGGAGTTTTTTTGGGTGCCAGAGTACGTATGATGTTATCCACTTCCATTTGTGTAGGAGGGAGTTCGTCTCTTCTGGTAACTTGGCGAAATTTCATACTGTAGGTTTTTCTCGCTTCCTCTTGCTCCTCTAAGAAATCCTCTTCATCATCATCAGGAAAAACTGCATTTATGATCTCACTGATTACTTCGATGTTGGATGAGGCAGTGCTATTCACCATAGGCGAAAGGGTCGTAGGACGAAGCACCTTGTTACATGTTATCTTTTGAGTAGGTCCAAAGGCTTTAGTGACATTACTACAGTAAGTTCTCCATGAGATTAACTTGGCCTCTTTAATTTTTCTTTTATATAAAGCTCTGGCTTTATTGTATGTTATCATTTTGAGTTGCCGTAGATATGGATCTACCGTGGATTGTGCTTTTCTGCGAAGTGCTCGAACTCTGCTCCTCTCTGTGTTAAGCTCTGGTGACCACCAGGATATCGAGTGTTTTGCCTTTACAGATTTCAAACGATATGCTTTGTGGGCGGCTACTCATGATGGGACGCAGAGTGATGCAGAGTTGCAATGTAAATATGACGGTTCCTAATAAGGCTAAGTCCAGAGTTTTTACCTAACAGGACATATAGCATATTAGCAGCCGCTAAGGCTTTACCAGCAAAATGTCTAATGTGAGTATGCCAGGTGAGCCTCTGATTGAGTATAGCCCCCAGATAATTCGCATTATTAACTCTTGGCACACGTTGTCCAAAAGATACAGAGGTTGCACTGAAGTATTATGGAGTCTTCTGCGCCCTATAGGTAGGAGTTGAGATTTCGCAGCATTAATGGAGATCCTCCAATTAGCACACCAGTTTTCACTACACAAACTTGTTTTCAATTTGAAAGTAAAGTCTTGAAGAATGCTAATGGCTCTGTTGGGTGGATTGATCTGACAGCTACTGCAGTATCATCTGCATAGCATGCCAGAATCATGTTGTTACTAAGATTTGCCTTAGGAAAGTCCACTGTGTAAAACAGATAGAGCATCGGTCCCAAATAGAAGCCTTGTGGGACACCGGCCTTAATCCTAGTATATGTGGAGTAGCTCTCACCACAGTTCACAGTAAGCAGTCTATTAAGTAAGGTAAGATTTCAATAGCAGAATGAGTGCCCTCGGAAACTCTAATTGAATCAATTTGTAGATAAGTCCCTCATGTCAGACGCGGTCAAAGGCTTTCTTCACGTCCAGCATGAGGATGGCAGTGCAACATTTATGGTTCAGGGCAGACCCTGCGAATTCTATAAGTCGAAGAATTTGCTTGGTTGTTGAAAGATCCTTCCTAAACCCGTAATGGAAATCAGGTAGAAGGTGCATATAAGGGTTCATACGGCCGAGGATGATTCTTTCAAAAATTTTACCTAGCGCGGGTAGTAGGCTGATAGGGCGAAAATTCAAACCCTGGTCTCATCATTTTGAGAGATATTGATTTTCGCCGTCTTTTTGAGAAGACCACAATCATTTTCACTTTCAGCTTCATTCGAGTTTTCTAATATACAAATTTCGAAATGAGAATTTCAGAATGAGAAAATGGAAAGGGGAATTTCAGAATGAGAAGCGTCATGATTAGCATTTAGCTTTTATTTTTAGCTTTAGCTTTAGCTTTACCTTTAGCTTTTATTCTATGTGCGGGGACAAATACATGTTTCCCAGAAGACGTGCTCTCGGATACGTTTATCGTGGCCGAATTACTTTCATCAGTGAACAGTTCAATGTATTTTTGTTTCTTCAGAATGCGTGTTTCTAAATTCGCGCGCATAACTAAATCAGTTTCCGAAAGCTTTCTTGTTTTCACTAATCTTTTCATCAAGGCTAGTGATCATGTATTGGAATGATACAATGTCAGCCTCAATGTCCTCTATTTCCATGTTCAAATGCAGTGCCACAGCTGGAGTTATAAACTTTTATACAAGTGGCACTTGCCACTGCTTGAACGGAATATGCAAAGTTAGCCAATATTTGACAACAGTATTTAATCAAATCTTGCTGATTGCTGACGGAATTAAAAAACTGAACTCGCCATCTTTTATTATGGAGGAAGTTATTCCTGTTTTCATTGTTTGTAAATAATGACATTGGCAGGAAAACTAAAAAATGAAATTTTTTAGGACAATTTATTCTTTACGGGTAAATAAACCCTAAGTGTGAAGTTGGTTTTAACCAGTCTGCTATGGGTAACGCAGATGCTAGGCATTTTGCCGCCTCGTGCAATCTCTGTTGCCCGGCGTATCCCTAAAATATGAAAAATCTTGTCGTCCCTTAATAGTGCTGCTCGGTGTCCCTGTCAGTTCTAAAAAGTTTGCCGTTCCTCGACTGTGTCAATTGTTAAATTTAAATTTGCATACCAAAAACAAATTGTATTTTCTTTTTAATTTTTATGATTTAATATTATTTTTTTTTTTTTACTAATTTTAAACTCTCCGAAATTTCAATCGTAATTTTAATGGTTCTTCAGATTACAGTCGAACAGTTACTTTTTTTAATTTTAATTATTTATATTTAACCCTCTGGTTGATCATCCCGCGATTTCCACGGAAAACTCAAAGGTAGCAAAATTTGCTTATCCGGCGATTTCCGCGGGCATATGTTTTTCTTCCTTTATTGAGGAGCGCATCCCGTTTTTTCCCCGTTTAAGCATTGAAATAAATCATATAGAGTATTAGGCGTTTAGTTTACGTTTTGGCCAACAGATATCTTAGTTGTCCATTAAACTGCAGCATTTTAAGGCACGTGGTATTAGCGCTCAAACTTCACTTTCTGCTGCATTTTTCTTACAGAAATTGCTGCTAGAAAACGTTCAGCGATTATCTTGATTATTTAATTAAATTATTGAATTAATAATTAGATTGATTATTAATTAGATTTATTGAATCTGGTGCAAAAACTGTGAAGTTGGACTTTGCCTTGAACCCTGTTTTGAACTCTATCATATTAAACTGCATTTCTAAGGTATTTTTCCCTCAGTGCTTTATATTTTATTAAATTTTATACATTTTACTTTTTTATATTATGCAATAGATAAAAATTAACTGTAATTCGACTGAAATTTATTAAAAAAAATTTTTTTTTGATAAGATCTGAAATTGGTTTTTTCTGGCCACTTAGTTTCTCATGATAAAAATCTATATAAAAAAATATTTTCTAGAAAGAAAAAGTGCCTTTTTCAATTCTCCATTATATATATATTAAAAATATGAAAAAAAATTTGAAAGCGATTTCGGTCCACAAATTGTGCAGTCAGAGGGTTAAGGACTCTAAATATTACAATTCTCATTTCCTTAGCGATTCTGTTCTGCGTTTCTATGCTGCAATATTCTAAAGTTTTTAAATATCTAGTAAACAATCACAGTTTCTTTCTCACGCTCCTCAATCGCAGTTTCTTTCTCATGCTTTCTCAATGACTTTGAATGTATTTGTTTTCTTAAGTATTAACTTAAATTTTCCTAGAAATAAACTTTCTGCTTTTTGTTAGGAACTACATTAATGATCCGTTCTGCATGGAGATCTTCCGAACCGCTTTCGCGTCTAATCTAGAGGAAAGAATGTGGAGAATAATCCTCATCATTGAAGGAGAATTGCCTCCAGCTTCCGAGCTCGATCAGTCATTGAGAGCTGTTATCAAATCCACTAAATGCCTCAGATTCGGTCAAAGACTTTTCCGAGAAATGTTGCAGTATTCAATGCCGACTTCGAATGTACAGAGACATACTGAAGACAATGCTGATGTGGATTTAGATGTACCTCTGCTGAATGCATTCTAATTAAATTTACTTCTATCTGCATTTATAGAGAACAAAAGAATGTGTTTCATTTGCATAGTTTGAGAAGCAGTTCTATGTTCAAATTTTCACTTAAAAGCAATGTTATACCTGTGAATCTTGTAATAATTTAATTTTGACTGCTACAAGGTGTTAGTTTACTTTCCATTGTAGTCTACACTTTGATCTTAGCCAAAAGGCTGAAGTGTATATGAAGTGACATCATCTGGAACAGCAGAGTTCTTTCTGTTGTACACATGGAGTTAAAATATTTTTTACCATTCAGCGCGACGTCGGATTTTGGGCAAAAAGGACTTGGGTTTATTTGATCAGAAACATATCTGGTTCATACTGTATGCCCTGACTTTACTGTTTTCGCCTATTAAGATGGTTTTACTGAGACAAAGATTTCAGGCAGTTCAAAACGAAGCGATGGCGTCTCTGTACAACTATCAAAAGGGGTATTCTGTCAATGCTTCCAAGAATTTCGCGAACCATGGAGCAGGTATGCGTGCTTTGATTGATGTCACTCCAAAGGTGATTAGTAGACAGGTTTTTAGATTTTAAACACATCTGCTCTACAAGCATTTTCAGCGATAATTTTGAACACACCTGTTGCAAATACCCTCCTGTTTCAAATTAGCTGTAGATCATAAATGAAACAATAAATCACAATTAAAACTGCTTCTTTCTGAAAAACATATTTTGAGTGTAAGTTATAATCTCTACATATAATAAAATAAAGAGTCTGTCTGTGTGTGTCTTTCGTTCGCGCTGCGCGTAAGCTAATAGACCCACGGCTACGAAATTTGGTACATAAGTACATCTAGATAAGAGCCAGTGCACCTCGAAGCGATTTTTTCGAAATTCGAATTCGATTTTTTTTTTTTTTTTTTTTTTTTTTAAAATTTTATGTTTTGTGACAAAATCGCGTCATTTTGAGACATAATGGGCTATAGGAAAGCGAGATTTTACTCTATACACTCCATTTTCACATCGTCATGAAACGTAGGCACTTAGCTATTTTACAAACTTAAAATAAATTTCATGTTTCAATAAATCGATTAAATACGAATTTATTTAACAAAGGGAGCTTAACACCTTTTCAACGGGATTTTTTTCTAAAAAAGCTTATTTTTAAAAATGTACAGTTTATTTATTTATTTATTTATTTATTTATTTTATTTTTGGACACGTTAAACTTTCATCCTTGCGACTGCTTTTACAAAAAGAATTTTGGAAAAATGATAATATTTTTTACTTTAAAAATATTTTTTAAATGAAACTTTTAACGTTTGGTGTTCCCTTCAGCCATTTTTCCGGTACATTTAAAAGCCAGACGAAGGCTGGCAGCGAAGCTGCTAGTTGATTATAAAATAAAATCATTTATACTTAAATGCGGGAAAACAAAAACGCGATATTGTAGAATAAGACGTTTTTACATTACGATTAAACAGATATGTGATATAATGCTGCAATGAAAGTGGACGTGAAGCTACTAGACCAAGTCTCCCGTGTCTTTTTCTTCAAAAACATATAGACAAACAAACAGTCAGTATCTAGATAGAAAATCCTATCTTTCCTAATTAGTTCATTTGCTCAGGGGAAAACATGACTCCATTGAAATTGAAAGAATTAATAGAGCTATTTGCAAATATTTTATGTTGTAGCAATCTCTCTTAGGGAAAGAGCGCATGTGGAAGAAATCTAACTTGCCTAATCCCCTATGAAAATAATATAATCGCTCCTTTCATAGGCTTCTGTTTTGAGATGTAGACTAGCGTTTACATCCCAAAACGATAGTCTACGAGGGAGATGATTTTATTATTTTCATCGGGGAGTAGGGAAGTTAGAATTCTTGCTTATGGGTAGGGAACAAGACCGGTTTCGTGAGGAAGGCAAAGGCAGCGGACGATGTTTATTTACGGAAATTTATTTTCAAAAAATTGCAAAGTGAAGTATTAGGCAATTTTCCTGATTGCGATTTTGAGCAAATAAACAATTTACGTTTATAAATCCGCGTTTATCTGTTTGAAGTTCAGGAGATTTAACACGGAGTAAATATGCTTAACACAACAGATCGCAATCTTAAGACTTGTAAATCTTGCAAAACATACTTTAAATCACTACATTTAAAACAATAAATCAGTGATAATTTGAAAATAATTGTTTGTACTGAAAAAAACAGTAAACCATAATTTTAAACTCTATATAAAAACAATACATCGGTAATTAAAAAGTAATATTTATAGTTCATTATTATATTATTAAAACTTTTTTTATGAATTCACAATTATCATATGATTAACTATTCATTAATGAATTATCTAATTATTTTTAATTAGAAAAGGTAGATATTTTTTTAAATAATGCTTAAAAAATATTACTGTCATCGGTGGGATTTTTAAGGCAATTCCTATTTGAAAAAGGAATATCTTTTCATGTCCAGTGGTCCATCATAGAAGAATGATTGCATAAGGGAGATGGCACATGTGTAGGGTTTTTCAAAGAAATCCGTTTTAGAGAACAGATAATCTTATTTGGGAAAGTATTCTTCAAAAGATCACTACATTAGGCATGTGCATGGAGGACCGCATTAAGGATCTACTTGGAGAAATTTCCAAAGGAAACTGTCCTAAAAAAGAGATATCATTTTAGAAAGTATTTTATTATTTATTTAAGGGACAGACTGATATTGCTATTGCACAAGTACACATAAAGCAATATTTCATTTCCCTCCTCAAGCAAAGACTGCATACATTATCTCTTGACAACACAGTTTATTTTTGTTTTCTCTTTTTATGAAATTATTTTTTCACAATATATCTGTTTATTTTTAAGGAAAATAAATAAAATAAAAATAAATAAGTTTTTGTGCATGGTTAAATATACCCAGTAATGAGGCTTTTGATTATAATATTGTTTTTTACTTTTTAAAACAGCACTTTTTATTTCAGTTAAACCCAGACACACATTGATAGCGATTTTCAACACATTTTGAGTATACAGCAGCCCTACATAAATATGAGTAAATGGGAAATATTTTCGCTCTAGGCTCACGTAGAAAGATGATGATTCAAACAAAATTAATTAAACTAATAAACTAAGTAAAAATAAAGATGAATAGTGACAAAGTAATGAAAACAAAAATCTCAGAAGCATATTTTCAAAATACAGATAAATTAGTTACGAATTATACTAGTATTTTTTTTAAAATTTAGTTTTTAATCTAAAATTTATCTTTCAAAAATTTAGATAAAAGAATAATATCAAAAAACTACACTGAAAATTTTTGAAAGAAACCTCTTGCATAACTAACTGTTATATACAAGGAACACTTATTTGAAAAATAAATTGCTAATTACTAGAAAATTTATAGTTGGATAAAAATAAATGTAAGCATTTCAATGAAGTGAAATCATGAAAATAATGACTTATGAAATAATGAAGTGATATCAATGAAAAATAATGGCAATTTTACGAGGAATGAAAGAATTTCAAAATATTCAACCTTATTTCAGACTTTTAAAATACACTAAAGGTATTTTTAATTGAAATTAATATATTTATGTTCAAAATTCTTGGAAAGAAGATTTGGCTTGTCATTCCAATCGTTTTTTTATTTATTATTCTTAATATCCGAACATGATTTGGCGAAATATTCAATAAGTATCATAATAATATTATTGCTTTAAAAGCCTTTTTTAAAACAGCGATTTTTTAATACAATAGCTTTTTAATACGTGATCACGAAATTCCTTAGAAAAGGGAACTACTCTGATATGCGCCCTCAAGTAGCCAAATTTCTCGCCAAACATTTTTGGCGAGAAACTGCGTGCTGCCATATTACTATCTAAATTTTTTGTCTACATTTCGAACTTTAAGCCTAAAATGTCTCCAAAAACTACTTTTTGAAGATACAATTTAAGCTAAAAATCGGAAACAAAAACAAAAAATTTAGACAGCAAAAACGTAAAGTTTCTAACCAAAAATATTTGACAAGAATCCATGTACACAGCGATATGTTTTAACTTAAAAAAACATCTACGAATGGCACAATCTAGGCAAGGAACGAATCTACGAACTATTCACACCTCACTTTAATAAATTAACATAAGAACAATAAATTTCAAAGAATACCATGTACACAGCATCCTGTTTAAACTTAAAATACATCTTTGTATTGCACAATCTAGGAAACAAACGAATCTACGAACTACGCACATCTCGCATTAATTTATTAACATAACAACAATAAATTTCAAAGAATACCATTTGCACAGCGTTCTATTTCAACTTTAAAAAAAATCCACGAATTGCATAATCTAGACGCTACGCATTAATCAACAAAATAAACTAAAATAAATCTCAAACAATTCCAGAAAACAACAATAACGACAGAAATTCATACTAAAAAAACAATGAACATAAACATTCTACAAAATAAGAACAAGAATAAAATAAAATGCACTTACCATGAATTAATGCTTTTTCGAACAGCAGAAATACCAATTTCATACCGCCTTTAACATTCCGCCACGTAATCGCTATCGTATTTATATGGCAGTCAGGCACACTATCCAGAAAATTCATACTGTGGTTCACAAATAATCACAGATCCCTACTTTTATCATGCACAGCCACTAAAAATAATCTCCCAGACCCTCTTTCCACACCTCCAAACACCCACTGCCCCTCAACAGGATAGCCACGATGATATTTCTTTTTGTTGAACTTCAATTCAACAACTTCCACCATTTTATCTTTCCCCCCTATCTTCGCGAACCAACGAGCTCCAGCAAAAGATTTTTCAACGTCAACAGGGTTGCCATGTAACACGCAATCGAGCCAAAAACCAGCAGAACACATATCGCCACATTTGGTGAAATTAGGGCGTATATCAGAGTTGTACCTAAAAAAGTATTAAAATAAAATATTAAGTTGTACTTCCTCCACCCAAAATTAGTTTCTGGGTGGAAAATTTTGTTCCAAATTAGTTGCTACCTTTCAAGTAGGTGGAGTCATAAATAACTTTCGATGCAGTTTAGTAGATTGACAGCTGCAAAATTATGCATCAATTAAACTTGCTTTATTTGAGATTAAAATTATCATAACTTGGTATTTTTATTCTCAGTTTTCACCTTCGACAAATGTAGTACTTATTTTGGGACAATTTCTTCGAACCAAATTTATAGGGTTCGCACGCTCTTAAACCACGCCCCATTTTATAAGGACTCTACCACCAGTTTATCAGAAGATTATGTTTATGTGATAAGGCAGAACCTCGACGGCTGTCTGCCGAATGGGTAGGATGCCTTCGTAGAGGAAATTCTAAGGGAATCTGTCTCATATACGCAAGGAAGATCATTGATCAAAGATCATTATTGGTGGTGATCATTATTGGAGTCTTTACAAAATGGAGGGGGGTCTTAATGGTGTGCGAATCCTGGATTTTTTAAACTCATTTGGTACTGATTTAAGGAGGGAATGTTAAGTAAATGTTGCTGATTGATAACATAGCGCCCTGAAATTTCTGAAAAATGTTCAAACGAAATCATAAAATCATCAGTATCAATAAGCAGTTCAAAAGTATTCAAATCTAGCAACTAATTTGGGACAGAGGGAGTATAATTTTTTGTTTTGTAAAATATGCTATTTTATTAATAACGCAATCAATTTTTTTAATCACGGGATTAAATTCATGATTTAAATGA